AGGCACTGAAAGAGAAAGCAAAAGCAATAATAAATAATAATGGTATGCTTTACTTTACATAAATGTATGACAGCTATTTACACTAACAAATGTCTGATAGCTATTTACACTAACATCCCCCCACAAACTCAAGTAGGGAAAACATCAATTAGCTTGAGTTTGGAAACGAGATCACTAAAACGACCAGGAGGATGAGCTTTGGTGAAGACATCAGCATGTTGATCGATAGAAGCAATAGGGCGAAGCAGAATAGTGCCACGGGTAACATGCTAGCGAATGAAATGACAATCAATCTCAATATGCTTGGTGCGATCGTGAAAAACACCATTGTGAGCAATCTGAATGGCCCTCTGATTGTCATAATAGAGACAGGTAGCGCCAGAAGAAGAAACACCCATATCAGCAAGGAGCCAGTGAAGCCAGAGAAGTTCCTGAGTAGTATTAGCAAGAGCTTGGTATTCAGCTTCGGTACTAGAGTGGGTAGTGAGGGATTGTTTCTTGCTATGCCAAGTAAGAAGAGAATCCCCTAAGAAGAAATAGAAACTCGTGGTGGAGCATCGATCCGTAGGATCCCCAGCCCAATCAGCATCAGAAAAAGCACACAGTTCAAGAGAGGAGGAAGCAGAGTAGTGGAGGCCATGGAATAGAGTGCCTTTAAGGTAGTGAAGGATGCGGAGTAGAGCAGTATAATGGGGAGTGCGAGGAGCCGACATATACCAACTAACAATGTGAACAACATAGGCAATGTCAGGACGAGTCACGGTGAGATAGACAAGACTACCGACCAGTTGGCGATAAAGAGTAGCATCTGAGAGGAGATCTCCATTGAGAGGAGTGAGACGAATCTGAGGATCAACTGGAGTAGAGGTAGTTTTGCAATCGGTAAGACCAACACGGGCCAGAAGATCGGATGCATATTTGGCTTGGGACAAATAGGAACCAGTAGAATCATGGGAGACTTCAAAGCCTAAGAAGTAGTTAAGAGTACCAAGATCCTTCATCTCAAACTGACGGTGGAGAAAACGTTTGAGATGAAGAATACCAGCTACATCATTATCGGTGATGATCATATCATCCACATAAAGAAGGAGAAGAGTGGTACCATGAGGAGTAGTCCGTTTAAATAAAGCAGAGTCATAGGAGTTAGAGGTGAACCTGAAGTCATGAATGGTAGAACTGAACTTAGCAAACCAAGCGCGGGGTGCTTGTTTAAGGCCATAGAGGGCACGCTGTAGTTTGCAAACCTTATGAGGTTGGAAAGTAGACCCAGGTGGAGGTTGTATGTAGACCTCCTCAAGAAGATTACCATTGAGGAAATCATTTTTGACATCCATCTGAAAGAGCTCCCAGTGGCGAGTAGCAGTAACAGCAAGCAAATTGCGAACAGAGGTAAGCCGAGCAACAGGGGAGAAGGTCTCCTCATAATCAATACCATATTTTTGGTTGAAACCCTTGGCAATAAGACGAGCTTTGTAGCGTTCAATAGAGCTATCAGAATGAGTCTTGATTTTGTAAACCCATTTGCAGCCAATTGTAGTCTTGCCAGGAGGAAGATCAACAAGATCCCAAGTATGAGTTTTGTCCAAAGCCTGGAGTTCATCAGTCATAACTTGTTGCCAAAGAGGATTAGTACAAGCCTCACGATAAGAGGTAGGTTCATAAGTAGAAAAGGTAGCAGACTCAACAATATAATCACGGAGATGGATAGGTGGTTGAGTTACCTGTTGTAGTCGACCCGTAGGAGGATCGGTGGGAGGAAGAGCCGGTGTAAAAAGAGGAGAAGAACGAGGTGGCACAATGAGAGGTGGACCTTCAGGGAGAGCAGTCTAGACGGGATCAGGGGTCAACAAAGGCGTCTCGATGAAGGAGGAACCTATATCAAAGTCATCAGAGAAGAGATCTATGGAAGGATTAGTAAACAGGACATTAGTGAAAAGCGCGGGTAAGTAAAAGAAGGATAGTGAGGAAAACATTTTGTGCTCCCAGAAAATAACATGTCGGGAGATACGAAGACGCCTAGAGAGAGGATCCCAACAGCGAAAGCCTTTATGTTCAATTCCATACCCAAGAAAACAACAAAGATGAGAACGAGGTTCAAGCATGGTGTGTTCATGGAATTGAAGTAGAACAAAGCATGCAGAGCTAAAAACCTGAAGATTGGTATATGGAGGGGGAGTTCCATGCAGACAGTCAAAGGGAGTTTGATTATTGATGACAGGGGTAGGAGCACAATTGATACTGTATACAGCAGTAAGGGCAGTTTCCCCCTAAAAGTTTTCAGGGCAGGAAGAAGAGAGAAAGAGAGCACGAGTAGTGTCAAGAATATGCCAATGTTTCCTTTCAGTACGACCATTTTGTTGGGACGTGCTAGCACAGGAACAATGATGCTGTGTACCATGACTCTGAAAAAAAAAGGGAAATCGGAATCCCGATATTCCATAGCATTGTCAGAGCAAAAAAGTTTGATGGTTTTTGAAAATTGGGTGTGGATCATTTTGGCAAATCTATAATAAAGGTGTTTAAGTTCAGACCAAGTTTTCATGAGAAAAAGCGAAGTAAACCAGGAAAAATCATCAATAAAAACAACAACATAACGAGATCCTCCCATAGTAGTAGCAGGGGATGGGCCCCAAATATCTGAATGTATAAGATCAAAATGTGTATGGGAAACAAAAGTACTTTTATTGAATGATAAAGCAGGTTGTTTGGCAAGTTGACATGGTATACAATTGAAAGTATCTGGAATTACATAACCCAATTGTCCACTAGAAACCAAAGACTTTAAGCGATTAACAGAAATATGCCCTAAGCGACAATGCCAAAGATGAAAAGGAGATAATGAGGAAGTAGATGCAGGAGTAGCGATCTGAGGGGAGTCAGGAACATGAAGGTGAATGAGTTCATAGAGACGTCCGTGCTTACGGCCGATCCCAATAGTCTGCCCCGTCTGAGGGTCCTGCACCAAACAATCAGTAGCAGAAAATGGACAGTTAGACCAAGCTCACATAATTGACCAATAGAAATAAGGTTTAAGATGAGAGCAGGGATATGATAAACTTGAGGTAAAAATAAAGAAGATGTGGAAACAGTACTAACATGACAGACAGACATGAGAGAACCATCAGTAGTATGAATTGAGGGAATATGAGTAAATGAAGAGATGGAAGAAAATATAGTAGAACTGGAAGTCATATGATTACAACAGGCAGAGTCAAAATACCAAGAAGAGTTACTTGGGATCACAGACAAAGCAGTAGGAGGAGGTTTACTAGAGGTGAAGAGAAGTTGTTTGAACATGGCCTCTACATCAGTTTGAGAAAAAAGAGGGGTAGACGAAGTAGGTGACGTAGAGAAATCCTCAGAGGCAGCAGCAGCAGCAGTGCGATGAGACTGATTCCCGGAACGATGAGAGCTCCCTCGGGAAGAACCACCGCGAGAGGAGTGGCTAGTGGAGGATGATCGGGATGGATTGCGAAAACAATCCTACTGCAGATGACCAGGACCAAGTTTGTTGCAGTATCGGCAGGGTCTGACAGGGCAATGGACCAGGAGATGAGTTGAAGGAAGGCCCCGATTCTGACAATAGAGGCAGACCGTGGTCCACTGGGTTGATGATGACTGTGACTGAGGAGTGGCAAGAAAAAAAGTTCACATGATGAGTTTGGAGAGTACCAGGACGAGTCTCCTCAGATAGTAGCTCAGAGATAGCTTGTTCAAGAGTGGGCAGCGGAAGGTGATGAAGAAGAGAGGCACGCACGAGCTCAAAAGAGGGAGTGAGAGCCATGACAAAGTGAACCAACCGTTGCTGATTACGATAGGTAGTAAATAAAGCAACATCTTCTCGATGAGGCCATGTCGATTCTGAGAGAGCAAGCTGGTCCCAAACATAATACATTTGAGAAAGAAAGTCATTAATAGACTGACTGGATTCTTGACGCATACGGTGAAGTTGGCTCTGAAGTTGATATTGATGGGCAAGACTAATAGTCTGGTATCGTTCTTTCAAAAAATCCCAGATGTCTTTTGTAGGAGTGGTTACAGAGTCAAGCTGAAAACGCCAAAATGGAAGACTGATAGAGGGAACAGAGGTATTTCGAAACCAAGTAATGATCTGGTAGTTCTTACTGTCTCATTCCTCAAGTCGGTCTTCATATGTAGCAGCAGTAGTAGCAGTAACAGTAGTAGCAACAGTTTCATTGGTGTCATTCACCGGTTAGGTCACATCCCCGGTGATAATGCGCCAGAGCTTCTTTCCTTTGAGGAAGGAAGACATGTCTTGGGCCCATAGAACATAGTTAGAACCATTAAGAATAACAGAAATTGGATGTGAGGCATCATGACGATCCATAACAATAGTTGAGTAGGGCTAAATAAATAGGAACAGACCTGTAAGAGCAAAATTAGGTAAAACAGAGTGTACCAGTGAGTCTGGAAGGTCGAAAATAGCTAGAAAAAGTGTGCTGTGTAGAGATGACATCAGCAGAGGCTAAAATGATGTCAGCAGTGCACAATAGCAGGTTGTAGTGAGGAGCACGATAGTAGGAAAGGCGTGCAGCGCACGGGAGCAGACTGGTGCACGCGTGGTGCACGGGAGCAGACTGGCTCACGCGGGTGCACAATAGCGGAACGGCGCACGGGAGGAGCACAACAGCAGGTGCGGCACACGAAGGAGCAGGGCTGACGTCAGATGCTGATGTGAGCAGGCAACAGAGGGCGCGTGAAGGCGCGTGTGCGAGTGGCTGCGGAAGTTGAGACGCGCCGAACATAAAGGTGGCGTGTGGAGGCGCGTGACGGCGTTTCTAGTGACGGGTGTGGTGCTGTTGGAATCGTGAGGTGATTCTGAGCTGTTTGGTATAGTGCCACTGTGTACGGGACTAAGCACCAAAAACGAAAAATGCCAGAAGTGTATAACTGGGCTTTGATACCATGAAAGATGAATTGATAGAGAGATAGAATAAATTGAGTGTATCGATTATATTGAATGTGTAAGGTTAGTCAATGACACAAAGGGAAGCTCACTCTCTTTTATAGAGAGGAGAGTACATAGGATGCCAAAGAGGCTCTGAATGAGAAAGCAAAAACAATAATAAATAATAATGGTATGCTTTACTTTACATAAATGTATGACAGCTATTTGCACTAACAAATGTCTACAGCTATTTACACTCACTACTGATGCTGCTATGGCTGACAAACACATCGGCGCATCATTATACCCAGGATGGTTGTTGAGAATGGTGCGGAAATGTTAGAATTCCATTTCCTTTTGGAATCGGTGTGAATTGTTACTTAAACGAATGGTACTCCATAGAGTGCAGGAGCTCAAGCTGCAGCTCCTACTACTACATAGAAGGCACACCTTACTTAACAAACATCAGTCTTGAGGTGCTGGATATTTCATTAGATTTCAACTATGTTCGAGTCAACCATCCAGTCATATCTCCCAATTGTCCCGTAATTAACAATGGTAGGAGCAGCGTGAACTTGATAAATACCCCTTTTCAATTCTCAGCATACAACAATTTATTTGTCGCCGTGGGTGTAGGCTGTGACAACCAGACCATGATGTTGACCGATCTGCTGGACAACAAGAAGAAGATGCTGATTACCCAGTGCAGACTTACTTGCAATTCTTCTACTAATAATATTAGCTCCTGCACTTCCCCAATCTCTGTGCAGTGTCTGCAGGGCTACAAGGTAAATTTGGCGAGTATAGGAAACAACAACAATCAGAGTGGAGGTGGAGGTGGAGGTGTTGTGAAAACATCATGTACATATGGGTTCTAATACAATAACATTACATATTCAAGGTTTAATTTAAATGAGTTATCCGTTGGTGTCCAAAACAAGACTACTACTCATGTCCCTGTCCTTCTCGATTGGATTTTCCCAGCATGGAACCTAACTGTACCTACACCTACCAGTGATATATATAGGCCCTGTTTTTCTTCATCGAATGCTGTTTCTTCATCTAACGGGAGCAGCGAAATTGCTGAAAGCTGGACATGCTATTGCAAGTTTTCCTCCCGGGGAAATCCTTACCTTCCGGATGGATGTAAAGGTACGGACATATATGCTCAATCCATCTATCTATGATGTATTATCAACCTTTATATATATACACACTTCATTCATCTTTAATGTTCACTGTTCACTGTTCCCTGTTCACTGTTCACTATAGTGACAAATTAAACTAACTCAATTCAAAAACTTACTACTTTTTGCAATCAGAGGGTTTCGCTTGGTTTGGATCTCTTCAGTGGAGCCTACCAACCTAACTGCTACTTTAAGTAGAATTAGGATTCTTTGGACATGTTTAATTAGTGGGATTATAGTATATGATTGAAATTGTTAGTATATAAACTCACAATCCCATGTTTAATTATAAATTTTATTAAACTAAATACATATAATCAACAACAATAAAAAAAAGAAAAAGAAAAATTAGTTTGTTTGGTTTGGGTTTTTAGGATTCACTTTTCAGAAAAATTGAATTTTTTTTATTTTTTGTGTTTTTTTGTTTTCACTGAATTTTTCTAATATTTTAAGCAAATTTTTTTTTTAGATATATCTAACATAAATACATTTAAAAGTACAATATTTGTGAAAAAAATCTTTAAAAAAATCACCAAATACCAAAAATACTAAAATATAATACATTTTTGTATTATTGTGTATTTATTGATTTTTTAAAATATTTTTTTATAAATATTTTACTTTTTATGATACATCTAAGTAAAGTGCATCTAAAAAGTAAAAAAAAAAAAATTAAAATTTTAAAATATTCACTAAAAACAAAAAAAAGAAAAAAAGAAAAATTCTATTTCCAAAAAATTGAATTCAAAAATAACCAAACATAGTGAATATTTTTTTATAGTTAATATTAAATATAAAAACTAAAATATTCATTACAAAAGTTTTTAATGTAAACTTTTATAATTAAACCCTTCAAGTTTGCATGTTTGAAAAGAATTTCATAATAGTATTTTTATCATTGTCAAAAAAAATGTCTCTTTCTATATACAGGTAAACTATTATTCATTCATTGATCACCAACTCCACAATTGATTATTCACAATATATTCATTGCTAACTACAAAAAAAATTATCCATAATTGTAACTTAAAAAATAAAAATCAGTAATCAAAATTTTTAATTATAACATAAATAAAGAACAAAGCCCAATTAGTAACTCATTAATAGATATATGAGAGAGGTTAAATTCAGTACATAAAAACCTTTGATATAAATACACAAAGTGAATGCCTTAGATTTAAATTCATAATCTCAAAATTAGTAGTTTAAAATTTTAACCAATAATTATTTTTAAAAAAATCAAGTTAATTACTTAAAGATATATATTTTTTAAAAAGCGGGGACATGTGACCCCTGGGAGCCTCTATTTGCACACACCAATTCCACTCTTTGCACACACTTAATGAATTTTATTTTTATTACAATTTTATCCCTAAATAAAATTACCATTATAGACATCTCACACAATTCAAATAAACACACATCCTCTCAATACACACACACGTTGCAATGCCTCTGCTTCCTCATTTTGCTAAATGATCCACGCACACACACGTTACTCCATACCAGAGCTCCAAAGTTACTCCATTCTTCATTAGTGTACACTCCTTGCACAAGCTCCACACTCCTTCCACAAGCTGTCTTCCTCATTCTTCCTTCTTCATTCTTCATTCCATTTTTCATTAGTTTACACACTAAATCTCATCCTCACTCATTGTTATGGAAGATTTACCTTCTGAAAATTCAGATTTTGAGAAGCAGTAACTGTTTATGAGAAAGGTAACCAAGGAAAGGTGAGTTTTGCTCCATTTTTTTTCCCAGCGTCGTTCGGAAAACCAGGGTCGAACTAGTTAACATATTTCGGAAGTTGTATGCCGAATGAACTTCAAAATTTCGGCAGTTGACTGTTCGGATGTTGTATGCCGAATGAACTTCAAAATTTCGGCAGTTGACTGTCGATTTATTCGGCATATTTCGAAGCTTGATTTCCGGCAAAAACAATACATTTCGGAAAACCAGTTCCGAATGAAGCACAAAATCATCCATGACAGTGGGCTATTTCCTCGATCGGAAAATGGTTCAAACAAACCCCAAAGTACAAATGACATACAAATGAGGATTTTAAGATCAATAAACTAATCTAAATCTCCAAATGTGAGGGGACAGTAATGGACAGAGAGTTTTCTTCACTGCCCTTCAATGGCACTTCTTCAATGAGGAGGTCTTCAATGGAGGTGGGGGACGGACGGTACACACTGTGAGAGTGAGAGATGGGTGTGTGTGAGAGAGACGGAATGGGGAGCCGCTGCATTGTCTATGTGTGTGTGCACAATGTGTGTGTGTGTGTGTGCACAATTTGGCTTTGAGGGTATATTTGGAAAATAGGTGTGTGCAGTGAGTAAAACAAATTAAGTTTAATTTTTTTATGTGTGTGTACTGAGAATGATGTGCATAGAGAGAGTTATGTGTGTGTAAATAGAAGCTCCCGTGACCCCTCGGTGCTTCCTTAAATCTGTCCCTTTCCACCCCTAAGTAGTGAAATATTTACAGAGAGAATAGTGTTGAAGCAAAGAGTTTGAGAGTGAGAAAGTCTGGCACTCAATGTCTGCATCTTTCTATACGTCAACCTCATAGTAGGGGCTCTTACTTAACCAACATTGATCATGACTCTGCCATACTGACCAATATTGGTTTGCCACCTTACCAGATCAAGCTAGCTTGCATACCCATTGCTTTTCATGTAAATTTATTTTTATTTTAAATTAAGAAAAATTCAATTGATGTGGTTATTTCAAAAATATAATGGATATCTATAGATAGAATCACAATCCTACTATAATAACCATTTATTTGTACTATATTACGTGTCACTATCAGTCTACTTATTAGCACTCATTAAAATTATACATTAATAGTGAGACACATTACATTAATATTGTGTTGAAAAATAAAATTGTAAACAAGATTGGTTGGTAACCTTGCTCTTTTACACACACATCGAGGAGAAGAAAAAAAGGAGGTTAATTAGATTTTTGGTTTTCAATACGAGTCTTGTGTAATTTTGATCTCTAATATTTAAATTGTGTCAATACAATTTTCAATGCATAAAAAATTACTTTGTATTTTGGTTGGTAACTGCCTTTTTTTTTTTTTTGTCTCGTAGAATTTATTGCAATTGTATGCCGTCGGGTGCTCAGAAGTTCCTTGGCTTGCTTTGTGCAACAAATCAAAAATTATTATCATTGGTAAGCTCATTTTCCTTAGAAGTGTTTGGAAGAGTTACCGCCTTTTATGTTTTTGGTTGACTAGTTATTGATTACAATGACATGGCACTATTCGGGTGAAGATAACTTGGTTGGGGGGCTAAATGAATGCTAAAAAGGTTTGAGGCTATTCTTAAACCCTTGTTATTAGATTTTTCACAAAAAAAAAAAAAAATAAAAAATAAAAAGAATTTGATAGTGTTAAAATTTGGGAATTTTTAGTTTAATGTTTCTGATATTAAAATTTTATAAGATAAATGACATGCAACAATTTTATTGTAATTGGGATCTCTTAACATTTTTACAAAAAATTCATCTCTTTATAGAGAAATTTTAGCTCTTCATAAAAATTTCTCTGTATGAAGACAAAATTTTCTAGTATGAAGGACCCTAACTACCATAACAATATTATTGATGGACCTTAACTAACAAGAAAAAATTATATTGGACCTCTCCTACTACTCAAAATTAGAGAGAGATATTTTAGTAATTTTTCCTAAAATTTGCTACGTGGGTTATGGCTACAAAATCAATTTTTTGGACTCAAATAAATATTTAAATCAAATTTGTCAACTTAACTTAATAAATATGAACTATTATATAAATTTTTTAATAATTATTTGAATTTAAAATATCAATAATATTCAATCATAAAATAAATTTGAATTAAATATATTGTGAGTTATCAAAATATATATTTTATTTTTATTTTATTCTTTGATATTTTCCTCATGTTAATTTAATCTTTAACTTTTTAATTTTTTATTAAATGATCACCTATGTTATTTCTCCCCAACGTTTAATTGAACAAAAATAATCCACTTTCATAACAAATGGTTTTTTATCACACAATAGACTAGTAAAACAATCTAGTTAGCCTTTGAAATGGAAAAAGAAACAAATGTATGAGATTAACAAATCAACAAAACATTTATTGATGCAGAAGTTTGGCACGGAAAATTATTAAAGAATTCCGTTATACCTTATGATATTGCCTATGAGATGCTCCTGTACTATCAATTCATCTAAAAGTTTAAGTTATAACAAGCCAAACACGTATAAATATTTTTTTAATTATTGGATACGCAGTGAAGTTCGAACACAAGATTTATTATCTATTCTGATACCATATTGAATTATTAACCATGAACTCATCTAAAAACTCAAACTATTAGAGACATCGATATCTTTAATATTTATATTATATTTTCAACCCAATAGATAAAAATGATAAATTATACTTACATTCCTTGCCTCCAAAGGTAAGTCGCTATTGTCACACTCATCAAATTTCCCTGCTATGTCATTGGTTTAGAGTTTAAGTAAATAATAATTTATTATATTCCATAACTACTGAATAATTATGCATGGGCACTGATCTGATCGTAACCTCACGATTTCTTTGTTTTTATCAATTCAACCACAATAAATGCTTCTAAATCTTCAATTAAAGTAATCTGTACTTCTATATTGATAATATAGTTGAATTCTCTATAGGTGTTTGTGCTGGATTAGGAGGATTATTGTTTTTACTTGTTGCTATTTGGTGGTTAACCAAAGTAATAAAGAAAAGAAATGACATGAAACGCAAGGACAATTTCTTTAAGCGGAATGGTGGTTTCTTGCTACAACAAGAAGTGTCTTCAAGTAATGGCAGTGTTGAAAAAACCAAACTGTTTAATCCGGAGGAGTTGGAGAAAGCCACTGATCATTACAATGAGGATCGTATCCTCGGCCAAGGAGGCTAAGGTACTGCTTACAAAAGCATGTTGTTAGATGGAAAAATTGTTGCTGTTAAAAGGTCCAAGGTTGTCGACAAAGGAAAAGTTGAGCAATTCATCAATGAGGTCGTCATTCTTTCACAAATTAACCATAGAAACATAGTCAAGCTCTTGGGTTGTTGTTTAGAGACAGACGTTCCTTTACTAGTATATGAGTTCATCCCAAATGGAACACTCTTTTAGCATATTCATGATGACCCAAATAGGAGTTCCCATTATCATAGGAGATGCACTTTTGGATTGCCATAGAAGTTGCCGGAGCTCTTTCCTACTTACACTATGCAGCATCCATATCCATCTATCATCGAGACATTAAATCCACCAACATTCTCTTGGACGAAAAATACAAGGCAAAAGATTCTGACTTTGGAACTTCAAGATCGGTCGCTGTTGATCAAACTCACATGGGCACTCTAGTACAGGGGACATTTGGGTACTTGGATCCAGAGTACTTTCAATCAAGCTAATTTACTGATAAAAGTGATATTTACAGTTTTGGAGTTGTTATTGTTTTTTTTTTTTTTTTTTTGGGGGTTTGGGCGGGTAAGAGTTGTTATTGTTGAGCTTTTAACTGGGCAAAAACCAATCTCATCCACTAGATCTCAAGAAAGTAGGAGTTTAGTCACGCATTTTATGGAATCAATGGAGGAAAATCATCTACTTGAGATTCTTGATCCACGGATTCTCAAGGAGGGTCGGAGAGAAGAGATGATTGCTATTGCTCACCTTGCAAGAAGATGGCTAAACTTGAATGAGAAAAAGAGGCCTACAATGAAAGATGTATTAGTTGAGTTGGAAGGAATTAGAATGTCACAAGGAGGTTCAACCATCCACCAACACTATGAACAAGTTGAATACAATACAACTGATTTGACTGAGGCTTGGGATGTTGCTTCAACCTCAACAGGGACATTCTTAGATAGTGGGAGTGGCACAGCTTTATCGTTTGATATCCAACCACTATTGCATACCAAGTAGTGAAGTCTAAACTAGACATACAATGCTTGTCTATGCTAGATATTTACCATAATGCTTTGTTAGTCAAATGTTAATTATGTACTAGTATGTAATGTTACAAACTTGTACTAATAACTTATGCCTTGGATTGGCAATAATAGTAGTTTTCTATACCATAATTCATATTGATAAATTCATTCACCTAGAACAAACTAGATTCATTTCATTAATCGAACACCCAAAAAGATGCTCAGATCTTGGTCAAATCCACAACATCGATCCAACTAGATTGAGCTCTATTGAAGATGATATCATTCTTATGTAGTCCAAAGAGTCTCACATAGTCGCAAAGAAAAGTTATGTCCATATTTGTTTCTCCAATTAGAGAAACCCCACCTAAACCACCACTCTCAAAATCTCAGTCCAGACTTTCCGAGCGAAGTCATAAAAGGAGAGGATGTTTAGTTGATTCCTCATGTGCAATATAAATCATAGAAACACTTGACAGGGAAAAAAAAAAAACACCATATTTGCCTCTCTTCCAAATTAAGTTGTCCTCAGAATTGAGTCTCTATTGGACTGCTTCCAATAAGTTGAGTAATATTCCTCATGATTCTCTTTTTTCTTATTAAAATAAAGATCTTCTAAATCTGAAATCCCAAACTATGTTGTTGTTCTCATCAAAAGAACAGACGTCAACCATACTTTACAATCTTTTTGCAAAAAAAAGTTTAAAAGTCCAGAAAATCTGTGTTTGAAGAAACAATTATGAAACCATTTATCCTTCCAAAACCTTATTTGCAATCCGTTTCACAGTTTCAAGTTGAAGTTTTTGTTTTAACACTGTCCCAACTTTATCAATCATATGACTCTGGCTAACCTCCACAATTCCTTTCCATAAACCAGAAGCGACACCTTCCCTTATTAACAATGGGATCGATCATTCATTCCCATTTGTGGTGGCCAAATAAATGAGATCTAGAGATTTATCAATTGACCAAGTACAAGTCAGCCCATACCAGGTCCATCAGCTGGCCGCAGACAAGTTGGCCCATGCCAGGCCCAGTAAAGGGCCGTATTTGAATACAACTGAGTTCAAGGGCCGTCGAAACTGTGTACCCTATGGGCTATATAGAAGGCCCAAAAATGATGTCAAAGCCTAAGAGGAGGCAATGGGCCCTTAGAGGGTCCTGGAGGAACAATATAAAAGGAAGAGCCATAATCAAGAATTGTAATGGACAAAAAAGGAAGAGAAAAAGATAAACAAGATAGTGGAGAAAGATTAAGGAGTTCTGTTTGGACGAGAGAGTATTTTTTAATCCATTACACCACAATTGGTGCCGTTTGTGGGAATAGTCAAGCGTGTTCATGGTAGACTTAATAGATGATCCTCCATTCATTGCTAACAATGTCACGCCAAGAACCATGCTTCGTCCAGAGAATATCACCGCACGAAGAGCTTTGAATTTTGATCCAGTAACTCAGTCTTCACCTTCAACTTTGATGCAGGAAACCATATAGACGATAATGGACCAAGCAAAATGAAACGAGCAATGACTGGAAGAGATGGCGACTGACAACAAACATTTACATAAAGAGCTGGCTCTAGAGTTAGCCAAATCTCAGCAAACCACACCGCATCACGAGCGGGGTCAGTCGCCAGAAAAGAAGGATAATCAACGACGTAAGCACTGGAGACGTGATAGTAGCTCCGCCTTCGACTCGTTAGATCAAGAACCTAGAAAAAAGGGGTGTGTTGGTGTGTCCAGCTCATCAGAAAGGAGTCCACATGTGCAACACAGACAAGGAAAAAGTGATGGTTCAGACGGGGAAGACAGACATAATCCTTTTGCCCGAAGAATTGCGAGGGCCATCTTGCCTAAAAAATTCAAGGCACTGATGTTTACGCTATATGATGGTAAATCGGATCCTACGGATCACATTCGCCATTATAAACAGGCAATGACATTACACGCCGATGATGAGGCGCTTATGTGTCATATGTTTCCAAGCAGCTTGGGTTCGTTGGCAGTCCGGTGGTATTATAAGCTCGAACCGGCCTCAGTGAAGAGTTTTCATCAGCTCCAAAAATTCTTCTGGGCAAGATTTATCACCAATGAGGTTCAACCTAAGCAAGCCGACTTGCTCTGCGCGATGCAAATTAAGACGGAAGAAACCCTTCGTGAGTATTCGGCGCACTATTAGGAATGTTTCAACCTGGTTGACCATGCCTGCAATGACTCCATGGCCATCACTGTCTTCAAGATGGGCTTGTACCCTAACAGTCTGCTCTGGAGTTTGTTGATAAGGTGACCTCCTAAAACCGTGTGGGCCTTAATGAAGAAGGTTGATTAGTACTGCAAAGTGGAGAATGATGCCCTATGCATCAAAATAGGTCAGAAGGTCATAGAAACGGCGGCACCAGTCTTGGTACAACCGATAAATGTAGCCCTGCCGGAAAGGAGCCCCGAGCCACAAAGTAGGGCAAAACAAGAAAGTCGTTGAGACCCATGCCGATCGAGGGACCAACATTTGTGCCAGTCGAGCAAGCAATATCAAGTGGAAAGCAAATGCCCCAGGTGGTTTGACAAGAAGTATACCGAGTTGATCGAGCCAATTAGCAAGATACTCCCCAAAGTCCAACATTTACCCTTCTTTAAGTGGCCAACCAAGATGATTAGGCCCCTCAACGCAAGACGAAGGGATCGGCGATGTGAATACCACAAGGACCATGGGCATGAAACCGAAAGATGACCATCTTGAGGAGCTAGTACAGGATAGCCGACTGGCTCAATACCTCCCCCATAAGATCAACACACCCAATACAGTGGCTTTGCGCACGGACTCACCTGTATTGGGTGTAATTCATATGATTTATAGTCTTCCGTCGCCAAATAGCATCCATGCGATTCAGTCTCTACAATCTCAACCATACCCATCCAAGCTGTCCACACCAGTCAAACAGCCTCATCAGATTGGCAAGATTAGCTTTGATGACACAAATCTTGAGGGGGTGACCCTTTCCCACGACAGCCCTCTCGTCATCGAGTTACGCGTAAACAAATTTGTTGTTGAATGCATTCTGATTGATCAGGGGAGCACATCAAAAATAATGTATTATAAAACGTTTCTTAAGCTCGGCTTCACAGAGTCAGACCTACTGCCAGCAGAATACCCCTTGTTCAGCTTCAACGCCAATCTCGAATACCCTCTAGGCAAGATCAGGGTTGCCGTGCATGCAAGCACTAGGACACTCGAAATGGAGTTTCTGGTCGTAAAGCTTCCATCGCCATACAACTTAATCATGGGGAGAAGTTGGTTGCACACAATGCAGACCATACTAAGTACTTATTATCAGCTACTCCGCTTCCCAACACAACACAGCATAGAGCAGATTCGCGGCTTTCAAAAGTCGACAATGAGTGTTACCTTACTGCTTCGGTAAAAAAGCCAAGGGTGGTGGAAGTAAACTCCATCGAAATTTTAGACCGAGAAAGCCTCGAGGATGTTGGGAAACTCCCCACCGATAAGGCAACTGAGGATCTTGATCGGATTGGACTTACAATTGAACTAGATAAATTCTTCCTCATCAGCACTTTTCTCAATACTAATGACCGCTAAGAGTTAATTTCCTTTATACTCGGCAATATTGATGTGTTCACCTGGACCCTTTATGAGATACAGGCGTGGCACAACACCGATTGAATGTTGACCCAAAGGCTAGGCCTGTCATCCAGAAGAGTCATCAATTTGCAATCGAGCATACTTTGACCATTGTTGCCCAAGTGAACAACTTCTAGAGGCCAGAGCAATCCACGAAGTTAATTACCCCACCTAACTGTCCAACACTATTGTTGTTAAGAAGAAAAACAAATCCTGTTCTATCTGCGTGGACTTCACGGACTTGAATAAGGCTTGTTCCAAGGGTTGTTTCCCTCTCCCTAGAATCGATCAACTAGTTAACGCAACTGCACACCATTAACGTATGAGTTTCTTGGACGCGTACAGGGGGTATCATCAAATTGCCATGCAACCTGAAGACCAGGAAAAAATGGCATTCCTCACCCCGAGGGGCACTTATTGCTATAAAGTCATGCCCTTCAACCTAAAGAATGCTGGGGCAACTTACTAGAGGCTTGTCACTAACATGTTTAAGGATCAACTTGGCCATACCATGGAAGTTTATATCGACGACATGGTGATAAAACCCAAAGAAAAGCATGCCCACTTGGCCGACTTGTCCACAACCTTCGACATTCTCCGGATATATAGGATGAAACTTGACACCTCAAAGTGTGCATTCAGCATCAGATCTGGTAGATTCCTGGCTATATTGTGAACCATCGTGGAATAGAGGCCAACTCGAAGTAAATTACGACAATCATGGAACTCGACTCACCTCAATCAGTAATGGATGTGTAGAAGTTGATGGGGATGGCTGCCGCTCTCAATAGATTCATCAACCATTCTTCAGATCATTGTCGCCTGTTTTTTCACACCCTTCGGCAGGGAAAGGCATTTCATTGGACCCTTGAATGCCAGTCCGCCCTCGACGGATTGAAAGCTTATCTTCGTTCGATACCACTTTTAACAACTCTATCACTGGATGACCTACTTATCCTCTATCTTGCAGTATCGGATCGCACGGTCAGCGTTGTGTTGCTAAAAAAAGAGCTAGACGAGCAAAGGCCCATTTTCTATGTTAGCAAGGCAATGGTAGACGTCGAAAACATAGTACCTATCGTTGGAAAAGCTGATTCTGACCCTTGTGGTGGCCGCCAAGAAATTAATGCACTATTTTCAGGTCCATACAATAAGTGTGTTGACGGACTACCCTCTCTAAACAGTACTCCGCAATGCGGAATCATCAAGGCATGTTTCGAAATGGGCTTTAGAACTCGGGCAATATGACATCCAATTCTCCCCTAGGATGGCTATTAAAGGCCAGGTTTTAGCCGACTTCGTCGCCGAGTTCACTGGCTATCATGCCGACTTTGAACCTGAACAGCTAGCCTTCCGACCCCAACAGGAGTTGAGAATATATGTTAGGGATATTTGGCAGATGTACTGCGACGGTTTATCTAACTAGCGTGGTAGCGGGGCAGGAGTAGTGATTATGACCCCTGAGGGCGTAATAATCAAGCAAGCGGTCAAACTTGGTTTTGATGTATCCAATAACGAGGCCGAGTATGAAGCTTTTTTAATCAGCCTCCGTAACTTGCTTCG